TTTTTGTACTTCAAAAAATTTGCACACCCAACTCTTCAGTCAAATGTTTTTTTGACAAAATCGTTAGTTTTAAAGCTATATTGTTTCTTGTGAGCGTTTTGATCCGCTCTGTCAAAAAAGCAATGATTATTCAAAATTTTAGGGAAACATCGTGGCCGATAAGGCAGCGCGTCGGACTCGCAATCCGGCGGTCTCAGGTTTGAGTCCCACTGTATCGACTTACTGGATTTGTTCTTGGTCGTCCCGAGTTCGCAATCCTCGGCTACGCTTGTGAATAGCCAACTGGTTGCTTCCTGCCAGTTGTGTTTTTCAATCCTGTTACGTTGTATTTAAATTATTTGTATCTAACTCTTTGAGTGGAGTGCCTGTAAACTAGCTGGATAAGGTAATTAATAAGTAATAAAAGAACACCATCCTCTTTAGTTATTGATAACCATTGTAAGGCCTTTGGCAACTTACTGTCCTCGTTTGTGGAGACAATGATTGGATCGCTGGCATTTCCGTCTCCCTTTACTGTGGATGCAAAAACCAAGATGCTATAATTTGTGTGTTCCTCCAAACCCCTCAGTGCGAGGTTGGTTGTTGGAGCGCTGACTATAGCCGTCCGTGAAATGCCGCCAGGCAAGGCCGTGTAGGTCACCGTGTAACTCAGTATAATTCCATTTTGATTAGCTACAGGAACAGTTCTCCAATGTACCCATATGCTGGTTGAGCTTATGTTGTGTCCTTGGACATTTACTGGTGGTGCGTTTGGTTCTAAAAAAAACAAAATGCATCATTTTAATTCAAAGGATTTGAACCGCTTTAATTTTCAGCCAGCTGTGCTTAACACGGAATGGTTAGAGTGATATTATTATTAAACAGCGATACACCTCTCTATCTCCAACAAAATTCTACCTTTTATACCTTTTGTTTGAACGTGTAGCTACTTTGACCATTTTGTAACTAACGAGGGAACACCTTGCATTTTTGCCTAAGAGCGGCCTCGCGTCTTACGGCAGGCGATGGAACCTTGTGCTATTATTCCAGCGGTAGAAAAGATCTCAAAGCGATGTAAGATATATCAATGTAAGGTAACAAAGTAAAAAGAACGGCCTTAGGCAACTTACTGTCCTCGTCTGTGGTGACAATGATTGGATCGCTGGCATTACCGACGCCCTTCAAAGTAGCTGCAAACACCAAGATGCTATAGTTTGTGTATTCCTCCAAACCCGTCAGTGCGATGTGAGTGGTTGGAGAACTCACCACAACCGTCCGTGAAATGCCACCAGGCAACTCCGTGTACGTCACCATGTAAGTCAGTATAATTCCATTTTGATCGACAACAGGAACAGTGCCCCAATCTAGCCAAATACTGGTTGAGCTTGTGTTGTGTCCTTGGACATTAACTGGCGGAGCGCTTGGTTCTACAAGAAGAAAACTGCTATGTTAAAATAAAAAAGATTCGCACACTTAACTCTGCAGTCAAGGTTTTGCTTTTCCAAAAAATAGTTTTAAATTTATATTGTTCCTAAAGAGCGATACACCCCGCCGTCTCTAAAAGAAAGTACATAATCTACCTTGTATAATATTTTATTTTAAATTTAGCTACTTGAACACCTTTTTCTAAATAATAAGAGAAAACCTTCCTCTTTTTTATTGACAACCATTGTAAGGTCTTTGGCGACTTACTATCCTCGTCTGTGGTGACAATGATTGGATCGCTCGTATTTCCGTCTCCCTTCGCGGTAGATGCAAAAACCAAGATGCTATAATTTGTATATTCTTCTAAACCCCTCAGTGTGACGTGGGTTGTTGTAGCACTCACAACTGCCGTCCGTGGAATGCCACCAGGCAAGGCCGTGTACGCCACCGTGTAACTCAGTATAATTCCATTTTGATCAGCAACAGGAACTGTGTCCCAATCCACCCAAATGCTGGTTGAGCTTGTGTTGTGTCCTACGACATTAACTGGCGGTGAGTTTGGTTCTAAAAGAAGACAAATGCTTTGTTAAAATTAGAAAGATTCGCTCATTTAACTCTCCAGTCAAGTTTTTGTTTTTGCACAAAATAGTTAGTTTTAAAGTTATATTGTTCCTAAACAGCGATACACCCTACTGTCTTAAAAAGAAAGTATATAATCTATCTTGCATAATATTTTATTTTATGTTTAGCAACTTATGCAACTTTTTATAACTAATAACAAGACAACTTCCACTTTGTTATTGTTAACTATTGTAAGGCCAATGGCAACTCACTGTCCTCGTCTGTGGTAACAATGATTGGGTCGCTAGCATTTCCGTCTCCCTTCACAGTAGATGCAAAAACCAAGATGCTATAGTTTGTGTATTCCTCCAAACCCCTCAATGTGACGTTGGTGACACCTTCCACTTTGTTATTGTTAACTATTGTAAGGCCTATGGCAACTCACTGTCCTCGTCTGTGGTAACAATGCACAACCACCATTCGATTGGAGCACTGGAGCACTCACACAGCCGTCCGTGGAATGCCACCAGGCAACGCCGTGTATGTCACCGTGTAAGTCAGTATAATTCCATTTTGATCAGCAGCAGGAACAGTGTCCCAGTCTACCCATATACTGGTTGAGCTTTTGTTATGTCCTTGGACATTAACTGGTGGTGCATATGGTTCTATCACAAAAAAAGTAATTTCTACACTTAATATGAAAAGATTCACACACGCAACTCTCCAGTCCTGTTTGTTTTCCACAAATTATCTGGTGTGAAAGGTGTACTGTTCCTAAAGAGCGTTTTAACTCCATTTTCTCTAAAGAAAAGTAATAACTCGAAAAATTACAAAACTTTCTCTGGTATAATTATTGTTTTAACGTTTAACCATTTCAGATGGGCCTTTTTATAATAATAAGAGGACACCTTCCTCTTTTTTACTGTTAACTATAGCAAGGCATTTGGCAACTCACTGTCCTCGTCTGTGGTTACAATGATTGGATCGCTCGCATCACCATCTCCCTTCACAGTAGATGCAAAAACCAAGATGTTATAGTTTGTGTATTCTTCCAAACCCATCAATGCGATATGTGTTGTTGAGGCACTCACTACGGCCGTCCGTGGAATACCACCAGGCAACGCCGTGTACGTCACCGTGTAACTCAGTATAATTCCATTTTTATCAGCAACTGGAACAGTCTCCCAATCTACCCATATACTAGTGGAGCTTGTGTTATGTCCTTGGACATTAACTGGTGGTGCGTTAGGTTCTGTAAAGATAACAGTAATTTTTGTACCTCACAAGATTCACACAACCAACTCTTCAGTCAAGTTGGTTTTGCACTAAATAGTTAGTGTTCAAGTTATATTGTTCGTAACGAGAGATACATCCCACTGTCTCATGAAAGAAAATAAAGGAAATGTACAAAATCTATCTTGCAAAATATTTGCTTTTACGTTTAGCTACTGATGGACCTTTTTACAACTAATAAGAAATCTTCTTTCTCTTTTTTATTGCTAAGCATCGTAAGTTCTTTAACAACTTACTGTCCTGGTCTGTAGTAACAATGATTGGAGCGCTCGCATTTCCATCTCCCTTCACAGTAGATGCAAACACAAAAATGCTATAATTTGTGTATTCCTCCAAACTCCTCAATATGACGTGGGTTGTTGGAGCACTGACTACAGCCGTCCTTGGAATGCCGCCAGTCAACGCCGTGTATGTCACCGTGTAAGTCAGTATAATTCCATTTTGATCAGCCTCAGGAACAGTGTCCCAGTCTACCCATATAATAGTTGAGCTTTTGTTGTGTCCTTGGACATTAACTGGTGGTGCGTTTGGTTCTATCACAAAAAAAGGAATTTCCACACTTAAAAAGATTCATACACGCAACCCTCCAGTCCTGTTTGTTTTCCACAAATTATTTGGTGTCAAAGGTGTACTGTTCCTAAAGAGCGTTTTCAACTCCACTTTCTCCAAGGAAAGCAATAACTCAAAAATTACGAAACTTTCTCTGGTATAATTCTTGTTTTAACGTTTAACCATTTCAGGTGGGCCTTTTTATAGCTAATAATAGGACACCTTCCTCTTTTTTACTATTAACTATTGTAAGGCATTTGGCAACTTACTGTCCTCGTCTGTGGTTACAATGATTGGATCGCTCGCATTACCATCTCCCTTCACAGTAGATGCAAAAACCAAGATGCTATAGTTTGTGTATTCTTCCAAACCCATCAATGCGATGTGTGTTGTTGAGGCACTCACTACAGCCGTCCGTAGAATACCACCAGGCAACGCCGTGTACGTCACCGTGTAACTCAGTATAATTCCATTTTTATCAGCAACTGGAACAGTCTCCCAATCTACCCATATACTAGTGGAGCTTGTGTTATGTCCTTGGACATTAACTGGTGGTGCGTTAGGTTCTGTAAAGATAAAAGTAATTTTTGTACTTCACGAGATTCACACACTACAGTCAAGTTTGTTTTGCACGAAATAGTTCGTGTTCAAATTATATTGTTCGTAACGAGAGATACACCCCACTGTTTTAGGAAAGAAAATAAAAGAATTGTACAAAATCTATCGTGTTAAATATTTGTTGCGACGTTTTGCTACTTATGGACCTTTTTATAACTAATAACATATCATTCTCCTTTCTCTTTTTTATTGCTAAGCATCATAAGTTCTTTAACGACTTACTGTCCTGGTCTGTGGTGACAATGATTGGAGCGCTCGCATTTCCATCTCCCTTCATAGTAGATGCAAACACAAAAATGCTATAATTTGTGTATTCCTCCAAACCCCTCAATGTGACGTGGGTGGTTGGAGCACTGACTACAGCCGTCCGTGGAATTCCGCCAGTCGACGCCGTGTACGTCACCGTGTAACTCAGTATAATTCCATTTTGATCAGCAACAGGAACAGTGTCCCAGTTTACCCAAATACTGGTTGAGCTTGTGTTGTGTCCTTGGACTTTAACGGGTGGTACGTTTGGTTCTATAACATCAAAATTAATTTTTAAGGCACCCTCATCGCTCGCGAAGCGTTTGCAGTTGAGCCTTATAGCTAGGAGAAAATGCGAAAGCTATGCATGCGAGAAATTTTGGTTATGACCTCAGCGTAAGCCCACCTCTACGCACGGTAGACCTCTCAGACGACCTCTCAGTTTGAAATAAGCGGCAAAAATCACATTTGATAAGTCAAAACGTTTTTCTCCCGAGCATAATCTACCCGTCAAAGAAAAAGAAAAAAATTATTGGACCAAGCAGCATTTTGGCATGAGGTAAAAGTCGTGTGTTGCCTACCGCCCCCCGTTTTACATTAAGAAAGTCAAACAAGACACAGGCCAAAACACGAGTAGTCGTAGTAGTGCTGGGTGCATCAAAGATAAAAATGGGAACAGCTGATTTGTCGAAGAAGAGATAGCACAAAGATGGGTGGAGTATGTGACAGAATTGTATGATGACGTCAGAGAACCAATTCCACAGTTTCAGGCATTAACCGGGCAAAATTAAACATCCTGATCGAAGAAGTTGAGCATGCTATACACCTAATGAAAAATAGCCTGTTCACAGACCCTCCATTTTCTCTTCAAAGTCCGTCGAGCGCGCGTGAAAAAAAATAAACCGCGGGTGATTTATTGACCGCCAGCGCAAAGGGGTAGGGGTGGGTGAAGAAGAAAATAGACGGTCTGTAGACATCTTTGGGAGCAACTAAAACTTGATTTTCCCAGGAAAAGCAAATTACCATTAGCTGAACGGTGATTATCTTGTCATCATCATGTCAACGACTCATCACGCTCGCGTCATGCGACTAGAAGTGTTTGTTATCGCCTGGACCCGCTAACCACAACACTTACTATTGCATTTGCATGAAAAAATAACACTGATTGCGACTTGGGATGCAGTCATACTACAAGCTTGTGTTGAGCATATCTTTTGTTTTGGAGTATAGACTATGGAAAACGTGCTTGACGACTGTTTGGCACAGTTTTCAAGCAAAAACGTGCTCAAAGAAGAGCAGCACCAGGATGGTTTGGGTTTACTGGGCAGGGGCAAAAGCATGTTGTGGCGGTTCTTCCCGCACGGGTTTTGGGTAAAGTTTTATTTTCCAGTTGTTCGTACAGGGAAACACAAATAAAACAAAAAGAACGCGGTATTAGTTGCATCCTAATTACGAAGTATTATTATTGATCAAGTTCAAGCAATGAGAGAAGCTGACATTTCAGCCATTGAGTTACCCTGCCTGCCGCGGAACCATGAGCTGATGTGAACATTCCTTCGAAACCTATCATCGTTGTGTTCGCTTTGAAAGCTGGTTTTAATAATATATAATTCAGCCCAGGTGCTTCTAACCTTATTACTGCAAGGCGAATAAATCCTACTTAACTGATCTTCTGTTTGCGAAACGGTAAAATCATGATCTCTTAAAAACATTGTCCGCCAACTTTCGCGCGTACTCGCCTCGCTCTCGCGCACGCAGATGTTTTCCAAAAGAACGAAAAGAAAGATAAAACAACGTCTGTGTACGGGGTAAGTGAAAAATGGAAAAGAAACGGGCCCAGACGACCTTCCAACTGGGGCACTAAAAGCGTTAGATGAGCAGAATAAAAAGACCATGACACATCTAAAATCTATAGAACAGACAGACAAATCGTTTATTTAGGAGGACTCCTAACTACAGACTGGAGATGTGAGAACGAAGTAAAGCGAAGAATAGCGTTAGCAAAAAGTGCATTCCACGAAATGTCAAGAGTACTCAAATCAAGAAATACTAATATGCAAACAAGGAAAAGAATATTGCAGTGTTTTATACGGTCAACATTATTGTATGATTGTGACACATGGACTCTGGCCAAAACCATGGAAAGTACATTAGAGGCTTTTTAAATGTGGGCCCATATAAGAATATTAAGAGTATCATAGACGGAACATAAAACCAATCAAGAAGTTTTAAAGATGGCAAATACAACAAGTTCACTATTACCAACAGGTAATAAGAGCGAGGACACGTAATAAGAGAGAGGTCGATACAAAAATTGTTACTGGAAGGCAAAATCGAAGGGAAGAGAGGACGGGGGAGACCAAGAGTTACCTGGATGAAAAACATCAAAGAAGGGTGAGGACACACCGATAATGAATGTGTAAGGAGAGCGAAAGATCCGAACAGCTGGAGATCCATGATAGCCGACCTACTACTAGTAGATGGCACTTGATGGTGATGAAAGTTATGTAGTTCCTAAAGAGCGTTTAACTGCACTCTCCAAAAAAGCACTAATTAAAAAATTACGAAACTATATCTAGTATAGGTTTTGTTTCAAGGCTTAGCTACTTATTGTCCTTTTTATAACTAATAACATGACACCTTCCACTTTGTTATTGTTAACTATTGTAAGGCCTATGGCAACTCACTGTCCTCGTCTGTGGTGACAATGATTGGATCGCTCGCATTTCCGTCTCCCTTCACAGTAGATGCAAAAACCAAGATGCTATAGTTTGTGTATTCCTCCAAACCCCTCAATGTGACGTTGGTGATTGGAGCACTCACTACAGCCGTCCGTGGAATGCCACCAGGCAACGCCGTGTATGTCACCGTGTAAGTCAGTATAATTCCATTTTGATCAGCCTCAGGAACAGTGTCCCAGTCTACCCATATACTGGTTGAGCTTTTGTTATGTCCTTGGACATTAACTGGTGGTGCATATGGTTCTATCACAAAAAAAGTAATTCTACACTTAATATGAAAAGATTCACACACGCAACTCTCCAGTCCTGTTTGTTTTCCACAAATTATCTGGTGTGAAAGGTGTACTGTTCCTAAAGAGCGTTTTAACTCCATTTTCTCTAAAGAAAAGTAATAACTCGAAAAATTACAAAACTTTCTCTGGTATAATTATTGTTTTAACGTTTAACCATTTCAGATGGGCCTTTTTATAATAATAAGAGGACACCTTCCTCTTTTTTACTGTTAACTATAGCAAGGCATTTGGCAACTCACTGTCCTCGTCTGTGGTGACAATGATTGGATCGCTCGCATTACCATCTCCCTTCACAGTAGATGCAAAAACCAAGATGTTATAGTTTGTGTATTCTTCCAAACCCATCAATGCGATATGTGTTCTTGAGGCACTCACTACGACCGTCCGTGGAATACCACCAGGCAACGCCGTGTACGTCACCGTGTAACTCAGTATAATTCCATTTTTATCAGCAGCTGGAATAGTCTCCCAATCTACCCATATACTAGTGGAGCTTGTGTTATGTCCTTGGACATTAACTGGTGGTGCGTTAGGTTCTGTAAAGATAACAGTAATTTTTGTACCTCACAAGATTCACACAACCAACTCTTCAGTCAAGTTGGTTTTGCACTAAATAGTTAGTGTTCAAGTTATATTGTTCGTAACGAGAGATACATCCCACTGTATCATGAAAGAAAATAAAGGAAATGTACAAAATCTATCTTGCAAAATATTTGCTTTTACGTTTAGCTACTGATGGACCTTTTTACAACTAATAAGAAATCTCCTTTCTCTTTTTTATTGCTAAGCATCGTAAGTTCTTTAACAACTTACTGTCCTGGTCTGTAGTAACAATGATTGGAGCGCTCGCATTTCCATCTCCCTTCACAGTAGATGCAAACACAAAAATGCTATAATTTGTGTATTCCTCCAAACTCCTCAATATGACGTGGGTTGTTGGAGCACTGACTACAGCCGTCCTTGGAATGCCGCCAGTCAACGCCGTGTACGTCACCGTGTAACTCAGTATAATTCCATTTTGATCAGCAACAGGAACAGTGTCCCAGTCTACCCAAATACTGGCTGAGCTTGTGTTGTGTCCTTGGACTTGAACGGGTGGTGCGTTTGGTTCTATAACATCAAAATCAATTTTTAGTTCACCTTCTTCGCTCGCGAAGCGCTTGCTGTGGAGCCCCATAGCTAGGAGAAAATGGGAAACCTATCCATGCGAGAAATTTTGGTTATGACCTCAGCATACGCCCACCTCTACGTAGTGTTTGGCATGGAGCTACTCTGTAGGGGTGGGGGTGGGGAATCCAAGACATGTAGCTTACGTTTGTCTTGGCGAACGTTAGCCAGTTCACCTAAACGAAGCCATTGGAGTTTTTCCGATGTTGAAAAACATGTTGAAATTCCGTTTGTGTGACTGACGACAAAAACTTTAAAAAATAAAGTTTTAAAGATGTCTATTTAGCTTGGTCACGCTTTTCAAAAAATTCACACCAAGAGCCATTATGGCTCTTGTTTACACAAACTGTTACATTCGGGTTCTCATAGAAGGAAACTTAATAAACTTATGGCCACTAAAGTAGGTCTTTCCCAAAAAGGCCTTTGCAAACTTACTGTCCTCGTCTGTGGTGACAATGATTGGATCGCTGGCATTTCCATCTCCCTTCACTGTAGATGCAAAAACCAAGATGCTATAGTTTGTGTATTCCTCCAAACCCCTCAATGTGACGTGCGCTATTGGAGCACTCAGTAAAGCCTTCCGTGGAATGCCACCAGGCAACGCCGTATACGTCACTGTGTAACTCAGTATAATTCCATTTTGATGAACAACAGGAACAGAGTCCCAATCTACCCAAATACTGGTTGAGCTTGAGTTGTGTCCGTGGACATTAGCTGGTGGTGCTTTTGGTTCTATAACAACAATTTTGTTTTATACTTCAAACGATTCGCACACCCAAATCTCCCGTCAAATTTGCTTTGACCAAATAGTTAGTGTTAAAATTATATTGTTTCTAGTGAGCGTTTAGCTCCACTCTCTCTCAAAAGAGCAATCATGAAAAATTCCATGGAGGCATCGTGACCGATTAGGCAGCGCCAAGAGCCATGATAGTGCGTCGGACTCGCAATCCGGCGATCCCGGGTTCGAGTCCCGTTCTATCGACTTGCTAGGTTTGTTCTTGGTCGTTCCGAGTTAAGAATCCTCCGCCACGCTTGTAAATAGCAAACTGGTTGCCTCCTCCCAGCTTGGGTTCTTAATCCTGTTACGCTGTATGTAAATTATCTTTTTCTAAGTATTTGAGTGGAGTGCCTGTAGACTACCTGGATAAGCTAAGTACACTTTGCTCTATAAACAGGCCTCTAGACCTTTAAACCTTTTACGAAACTTTATCCGGTATAATTTTTGTTTTAACGTTTAGCTACTTCTGCTCCTTTTTATAAGTAATAAGAAAACAGCTTCCTCTTTTTTATCGTTAACTATCGTAAGGCCTTTGGCAACTTACTGTCCTCGTCAGTGGTGACAATGATTGAATCGTTCGCATTTCCGTCTCCCTTCACAGTAGATGCAAAAACCAAGATGCTATAGTTTGTGTATTCCTCCAAACCCCTCAATGTGACGTGGGTAATTGGAGCGCTCACTACAGCCGTCCGTGGAATGCCACCAGGCAACGCCGCGTACGTCACCGTGTAACTCAGTATAATTCCATTTTGATCAGCAACAGGAACAGTGTCCCAATGTACCCAAATACTGGTTGAGCTTGTGTTGTGTCCTTTAACATTAACTGGTGGTGCGTTTGGTTCTATAACATTAAGATTAATTTTTAGCGAACCCTCAGCGCCCGCGGAGTCCCATAGGTAAGAGGAAATGAGAAACTTATCAATGCCGGAAATTTTTGTTATGACGTTAGAGTACGCGCGTCCACCCGTACGTACGGTATGTCAGGGAGCAATTATGTAGGTTCTGCAGGGGTAGGGGTGGGGAATCCAAGACATGTAGCTTGCATTTGTCTTGGCGAAAATTTGGCTAGTTCACCTAGAGGCAGCCAATGCAGTTTTTCCAATGTTCAAAAAGATATTGAAAAATTCCGTTTGTTTGACTAACGAAAAAAAACCTTAAATATATCTAGCCGGATTTTTGAAAACGTTATCGCCAACTGGACCTTTTACGTCGCACAGTTTTTTTATGCCAAAATCTATCTCCAAAGTAGCTATTATAAAAGTTAAGAGTGCTACCATTGCTTTTTTGTGTTCTCGTCTTTTCCTTCGCCGGGTTACGGTGATTTTTGAGCTTCTGGGGCTTAAGAAACCTGCCTTTTGACGCCTTTTCACTCAAATGACTGCAAATTTCGTTAGGTTGGTTTTTAAACAATCGGTTACATATACTTTTAAGGGTGTGGTTACAGCTTGGTCACGTTTTTAAAAACATTCACACCAAGAGCCATTATGGCTCATGTTTACAGAAACTGTTCTATTACGGTCCCAATAGAAAAAAGTATAATAAACTTATCGCGAATTTAAAAGTCGGCCAGATTTTTCTTTTAGGTCTTTTCCAATTTAATTAGGGAGCTTTAGCAGCGACGACGGCGACAGGCAACGAGATCGTCAAAAAGCAACAGGTTTGTTATGCAACACAACACTATTGCACGTGCATCGCGTTTTTTTAAACATTTCATTGTATCGACGTCAAAATGCCTAATATAAAAAAAATTGCAAGTTTTATGGAGGACCTAAGCAGGCGACGACTTATTCTCTCTTTTTAAACATGAGTGCAGTCCCCAAGAAATCAACTTCTGCAAATCTCGCCTTCATTTGGCATATTCAGCGAATTGGCATAAGCGCGAAAAAGTTTGACGAAACGTGAATTCAATTTAAAAGAGTTACGTTTTGGCTGCTGTCGCAGTTGTCGATGCTAACGCTCCATTTTGACCCTAGAAATCGTAACCTGTTAATTGGCTGCTACCAGAGAGTATCGTGCTGTAAACAAAAGACTTCTAGCTTTAAGGGAGACTTTTCATTTCAGGTGTTTTTTTGGGGTGTTTTTTCTTATATTTGAGTTAATTGCTTATATATCAGCACATAAATAGCTAGAGGCTTTGCTTTTAGCCCTGGCTAAATCTTGTTCAAACGATTCGCACACCGAACTCTCCAGTCAAGTTTATTTTGCACGAAATAGCTACTTTTAAAGTTATCTTGTTCCTTAAGAGCGTTGTGCTCCACTCACTCTCAAAAAGGCAATAATTTAAAATTTACGGAACTTTACCTTAGCGTTTGGTTACTTATGGTCCTTTTTTTCAAGCTAATCAGAGGAAACCTTCCTTTTATTGTTAAGTATCGTAACGCCTTTGGCAACTTACTGTCCTCGTCTGTGGTGACAATGATTGGATTGCTCGCATTTCCGTCTCCCTTCACAGTAGATGCAAAAACAAAGATGCTATAATTTGTGTATTCCTCCAAACCCCTCAATGTGACGTTCGTGGTTGGAGCACTCACTACAGCCGTCCGGGGAATGCCGTCAGTAAACGCTGTGTAGGTCACCGTGTAACTCAGTATAATACCATTTTGATCAGCAGCAGGAACAGTGTCCCAATATACCCAAATACTGGTTGAGCTTGTGTTGTGTCCTTTGACGTTAACTGGTGGTGCGTTTGGTTCTGTCACAACAAAATTTAACAATTAGTTCATGCGTCATCGTGTGTATGTCGAGATATTGAGCACGCGGGAAGTTTGGAGAGAACGAAAGAGGCCGAAGAGTTGCCCGAGGTGCAGCCGAGAGCAACTCTAGCCTCTTGAGTGTTCTTCAAACTTCCCAAGTGCTCAATATCTCGACATACGCACAGCTGAAACATGAACTAATCGTTTTATAACATTATCAAAGCGATTAATTTTTATTATTGTAGCTCGCGCTCAAAGCAGTACGCGTCAACGTCTACGTGTCTATATTTTTTTACCTCACATTTTTGTTTTTGTCTTGAGACTGAGAGACAGTTTAGTCACGTCGCTTAAGATAGCATTAAAAAGATTGTCAAATCCATATTGAGGTGCCGGAAAACTGTTAATTCACCGAACAATTCTTTTTGAAAGAAATAACTTGCAAAGAATGATTTGCACACGCCATAGCCCGCACAGCTCACGCAGATGACAACAACAACAACAACACTCACCTCTTTTCTCTACTATATATCGGTTAACAAATTCATATAATCATCTCATATCCAACAAGCGCGAGTGGAATAATTGTTTTATTAAAAACGCCCACAAAAACTCGTTGAATCTCTCTTACTAGAACAAACCGGAAAAGACAAGGGACTTCCGCTGTTCACATGTGACACGTCTATCAAAACTGTCAACGCGCGAACGGACTCGCCTGGACTGCATGAATGAAAAATCAAAACATTGCAGCGATGAAGATTAATTTTCTAAAAACTCATCGGGATTCTAGGATTTTACACAGCAGGACAGCTAAAAAAACCTGGCAGATAATGTGAAGGAAAAGAATTTTTAAGTGACAGCCGTCGAAATTACTGTGAATCTGGATTTTCGGTGCAGTTACAAAAGTAAGAACAACGGAGAAAAACTATTACCTCGGTCGCTTGTTATGAAGTTGTTTGAAGCCACAAGCTGGCTTTGCTGAACGAGAAAAGAAGGAATACTGCCGCCTCGATTGCTCTAGTGACTGACTGCATAGCCTTTTATTTGTAGCTGGTTACTTGTGATTTATATTCTTGATGTCGGATAAACAAGCCGCAGTTATCTATCAGCGAGTGACTCGATCGGCGAATGGCTTCGCGATCATGAAGAAACAACACCTGTCTTCTTTCGTAGCTGGTCAAGGTACTTTAGTTCCATATATTTTCATGTGTTTTTCGACAAACTATCAAACAAGCTCTTGTTGCTTTTTTGTTTGTTTTTGTCTTTTTTCTTTCGATGAAATTGCATGCATTTCAATTATTCTAAGAAATGAATTAAAACGATTTGCTTCGGGTGCCGTTCTATCCTTCGCGAAAAAAAATCTCAGCTAGCTTCCAAATACATCGACCATATATGGAGAGCATGGTATAATGGCTTATATACCATAACGGCTACAAAATGCTAGAATTGCATTATCCAATGATTCAGTTTTTAATAATAATTATTATAGTTCAGAAGATTCGCACACTCAACTCTCCAGTCAAGATTATTTTGCACGAAATAGTCACTATTAAAGTTATATTGTTCCTTAAGAACGTTTAACTTTACTCTCTCTCCAAAAAAGCAATAATTTAAAATTTACGAAACATTATCTGGAATCATTTTTGCTTCAACGTTAAGGTACTTACAATTCGTTTTTTGTAACTAATTGGAGGAAACCTTCCTTTTATTTTTAAGTATCGTAAGGCCTTTGGCAACTTACTATCCTCGTCTGTGGTGACAATGATTGGATCGCTCGCATTTCCGTCTCCCTTTACAGTAGATGCAAAAACAAAGATGCTATAATCTGTGTATTCCTCCAAACCCCTCAATGTGACGTTCGTGGTTGGAGCACTCACTACGGCCGTCCGGGTAATGCCGTCAGTCAACGCCGTGTACGTCACCGTGTAACTAAGTATAATTCCATTTTGATCAGCAACGGGAACAGTGTCCCAACATACCCAAATACTGGTTGAGCTTGTGTTGTGTCCTTTGACATTAACTGGTGGTGCATTTGGTTCTATAAGAACAAAATTTAGTTCAGGCGTTAGCGTGCATATGTCGAGATATTGAGCACGCGGGAAGTTTGGAGTGCACGAAAAGAGTTGCTCGAGGTGTAGTCGAGAGCAACTCTAGCCTCTTGAGTGTTTTTCAAACTTTCCAAGTGCTCAATATCTCGACATACGCACAGCTGAAACGTGAACTAATTGTTTTATAACATCATCAAAGCGATTAATTTTTTGTTATTGTAGCTCACACTCAAAGCAGTACTCGTCAATGTCTACGTGACTATATTTTTTTACCCCACACTTATGTTTTTGTCTTGAAACTGAGAGACCGTTTACTCACGTCGCTTAAGATAGCATTAAAAAAGATTGTCAAATCCACATTGAGGTGCCGGAAAACTGTTAATTCACCGAACTTGTCATCCTTTTTTCGTAACTAATTAGAGCAAACCTTTCTTTTATTGTTAAGTATCGTGAGGCCTTTGACGACTTACTATCCTCGTCTGTAGTGACAATGATTGGATCGCTGGCATTTCCGTCTCCCTTCACAGTAGATGCAAAAACAAAGATGCTATAATTTGTGTATTCCTCCAAACTCCTCAGTGTGACGTGGGTGGTTGGAGCACGCATTACAGCCGTCCGTGGAATGCCACTCGGCAACGCCGTGTACGTCACCGTATAACTCAGTATAATTCCATTTTGATCAACAACAGGAACAGTGTCCCAGTTTACCCAAATACTGGTTGAGCTTGTGTCGTGTCCTTGGACATTAACTGGTGGTGCGTTTGGTTCTACAAGAGGAAAATGGGATCTTTATAATTCAAAAGATTCGCACACCCAACTCCTTAGTCAATTTTGTTTCCCGCGGAATGGTTAGAGTGATATTGTTCCTGAAGAGCGATACACCTCACTGTCTCCAAAAAAAAAAAGAAAGAATAAGAAATGTACAAAGTATTTTTACTTTTTGTTTTAACTTTTAGCTACTTATGCCATTTCTTATTACTAATTAGAGGATACCTTCCCCTTTTTCAACGTTAAGTATCAGTCTAGTATGGTAAGGCCTTTGCCAACTTACTGTCCTCGTCTGTGGTGATAATGATTGGGTCGCTGGCATTTCCGTCTCCCTTTACAGTCGATGCAAAAACCAGGATACTATAGTTTGTGTATTCCTCCAAACCCCTCAATGTGACGTGGGTGGTTTGAGGACTCACTATGGCCGTTCGTGAAATGCCTCCTGGTAACGCAGTATAAGTCACCGTGTAACTCAGTATAATTCCATTTTGATCAGCCACAGGAACGGTGTCCCAATCTACCAAAATACTGGTTGAGCTTGTGTTGTGTCCTTGGACATTAACTGGTGGTGCGTTCGGTTCTACAAGAAGAAAAATGCATCTTTGCACATCCAACTTTCCAGCCAATTTTGTTTCGCGCAGAATGGTTAGTGTGATATTGTTCACAAAAAGTGATGCATCCTACATTTGTAACCCTCAGACGTACAAGGTTGGACATCCCCCGCCCCCCCTATAAGGTTTTTCTGAGTTTTTTCCTAGATGACAAAACATGACGCACCTGACGTTTTCAGTAGCTGTTCTTTCATCCCTCACACAGATTTGAGACAAGTTTACTGATGGTCAGTTGTTATGGTTAGGAGATTTGACGTCATAAGTAGGAGGTGGTCAGGCCAATTTTGGGTGAAAATACAGGTTTTGTCAACTTCTTTCAACAATAAAAGTAAATCTTGTGGAATAAATAGTGCAAAGTGCTTATTTAAATCATGCAAAGTGCTCATTTATGTGTTATTTTTCATGTAAAGCAAAAAAAATTGCCATTTCTTGCGGTTTTAACCTGTTTTCTAATTTTTGTTAAAATCCAGGTTGGCTGCCAAGATGCCACCATTGTTAGTGACGTCACAGGCCTCTAGCATCGCCACCACCCATAAAATATACCTTGTCTTTTTAAGAAGATCAAAGGCTTTCCACTAAAGGTAAAATCGTTTCAAAATGCTGCAACATATCACAACCTCCGGGGAGGGGTTCCATCCACCCCCCCCACCTTGTTAGGGGCGAGAAGAGGATCCTGCAGCCTATTCTTCGTCAGCGGTACTTTATGAACTGTATAGCGAGGTTTTTCCTGAATCTGTCCACATTCTTGAAATGCTCGTGTTTTACCGACCAATATGCATGGTATGTGGCCGCGAAGGCCGTGGTGTCGAGTTTAATTAAGTAATGATCCAGGTAAGAAGGAAAGCAATTTCTATTGTTGTGGCGCAATACGCTTTCCTCACATAGAAATGTTTTCATTTTTACGCAGAGAGTGCATAAATCTACAAAAAGGCTGTTTACGAAAGAAAATGTATTTAAACTCCACTTTTAAAGGGTGTATTTTTGTGTTAAAACATTTCGACCAATCACAAGAGTTGCAAACAATGGCCAAGAAATGTTCACAATTTTACATGATCCGCACATACGATTTCTGTGTTACTTAGACTCAGACGAGATTTTGTTATAAGGAAGTTGGATAGAAAAAAAAGGATTGATGTACATGCTGCTTTGCGAAGATTTCCTAAAATTTGATGTTTAAACCAATCAGAACCTTAGTAGAGACAATAGTAAAGTTAGCACCTTTTTGCATTCCGACGTGTTCACTGCGTTTTGGTCCTTTCCTTCTTATCTGGACCATTACTTAAGATCCGTCTGATGTCACAATAATCACGTGAATGAACATGAAAGTGATGCAACAATCATTGTTTGATTCGCAAGCACACCGTCAGGTAATTCAGGTACACAAGTACTCTACCAAATATGAGACTTTTCGATTCGCCTTGCTGGCTGGGAATCCATTTACCCATAAACATGACAGTAGTGCGTGATCTCAGCTTAGTGCAGTACCTTTCGGTAAGATACAAGTGTTAGCAAAATCTAGAGATCGATGTAAATGAAGTTTTTTCGGGTTTCACTTCAGTGCATGTTTTTTTATATTTTTTTACGTTTTTAGCATGTTACGTCGCTTTTCATCCGCAAGCTTCAATGAGTTTTAATCTCCAGTGGTTATTTAAGCCGTTTCATGATTTTCTGTTGCATATCAACGGCCTTTGTTCATTGAACACAGTTTGAATATTCTATTGAATAAAACGACTTCGTGCAGTCATGACTGTTGTATACACTCATTACTTGTGTCACGCATCACTGTTTCATTGTATCTTTGCCTGTGAATACAGCCGTCTCTCCTCGCTCCTCACCGTCCGCAGGCTTAGTATATCTAATCAACAGTGAATACTGTGAATACAGTCTTTCGGAGGCCATACCGATATTTTTCAATCGCTTTAAAAGTGGTTTTATCCTTGTCTGATCGCTATAAAACTTTCACCAATGATTGACTACGGATTGAAATTTGTTAAAATGTAGGTTTTAGTAAAATCGATATTACTATGACAAAAATAAACAAAAACTTTCGAAATTGATAAACACCTAATTTCTGAAACGTCTCGTAAGAAAGTTTTATAAAATCCCTTCACATAATCTTCATAATGTATATAATGTCTGAAACTTTCATTAAGATTGATTCACTGCAACGCCTTGACATTTCAGGAAACAAACTTATCCTACGAGCCGGACAAAAATCCGCGCTACAACATTCACTGTTCTTACGTTATGCTATTTTTCCAAAATAATGCGGACAATACATTCCTCCATGACTAGTACATTTCAGTGTGAGTATTGTCAATGTTTTACATTCAAAAGATGCGATAAATTCAAAATAAAATGTACTAGTCATGAAGGTATGTATTGTCCGCATTAATTTGGAAAAATTAGCATGACGTTAAAACGGTGCATGTTGTAGCGTGGATTTTGAATGAAGTTGCACTTAGACAGGTGGTGAGGAAACAGGTTAGGTTTTAAGGGCCTGTTTACATGGAGGTTGGGGACCCAATATAGGTGAAGTAACGTGCGGCAGGTTACCACAAATATCACGTAAACGTGATCAAATGTGACCCTCCACAGGAATTTGATACTAAAGGTGAAAGCACGCTCACGACACGCTTGCACGACACGCTTAGCGTGCCGTAGATCACGGATATGCGCATATTAAATTGAAAAAACAAAGACGGACACACTTGCCTTTGTTTTGGTAAATTTAACACGCTAGACCTTTTGTTTTTTTGTAGCGTGTAATATGTCCCGGTAAGTGTGCGAATTATAGCACGCTTAGCGTGCAATTTGGGCAAGACACGCTGAACACGGTTGATTACTAAAACTGCTAAGATGATAAGAATGGCATGGGTTTTCAGCGGATTTAATCAGCATTGATGACTGGTCGAAGTGAATCAAATATACCAATTGAGACTGTTTTGGAATTTGATCGTAACCGTAGCCATTTGAAAATCACCACTTAATGGTCGTCTAGCCTGTAATTAACAGTGTAAACCAATTCCTTCGGCTGTCGGCTGTTGACCGGAATCGCAAAGAGGCCTGCTATCGCATGCGAGGCACTGAAGTTATGTCGCCTGAAAATTATAGTTATGCCACCGGAAAATTTATTAGCAGTAATGCACAGAGAAATGAAGTTGAATAAATTAGTTTAATAGATTTCTTTAAGCCATGCTGAGACGAACGAAGGTAATTAAATCGGAGAAACAAAAACTGCCTAGAATTTTCTATATGTTGAGGAAGGCTAAACATTTCTACATGACCGTTCCATGCATGTACAATTTTCGAAGCTTCTCTAATAAATTTCTTACGATTTTCTGAAGTTTAATTTTTTCCATTTCACTCCCCAGGTCAAGCTATTTTTCGTAGAGAATTAAGGACTCCTAAAATTTTCGGAACCGAAAATACGATAAAATTCTCACTTTCCTAAATCTTTCAATTGGAAGCTAAATTTTTCGGGAAGATAATGCAGACGCCCTTGTAATTTCGAGAAGACTGAAGTTGTCCTAGGATGCTAGGATGCATTTAGAAGGAGATCATCGTTAGGTGCCCCTGACGAACGAAGCGTTATCAATCATAATTTATGGGAAGATATCTCGTTACGCTATGCTAAGACGAATCAAGCGCTGTAAACGTGTACTATATCTCGTTCTTCACAGGACGAAAAAAAACAGGAATCTGTAAACTAAAAACACTGTAGAATACTAGACTCCGTTGCGAGAAACACAGAGGCAAACGTGTTTCCGTTAGCGGGTACATCCTGGTAAGCCCGTTTTTCCATATTTCCGTCCCTGCGTTCACAACAGACGAAACAATAACGATAATTCAGTAGTACTATAGCATATATTTCGTTTTTTTTTTCTTTTAACTTTGATGAGACCACGAAACAAGCGCGATAAGTCTCAGGTAATACCATGCTAGGACATAAGTGAGGATAGAGGGGGACTTTTGTGTGAATTTTGGGCGACAAAACTCATATTATCAGGTTTTGGACGACGTAACTTCAAACGACATCACTTTCGAACAGCTTGACAGTCACTCCTTTAGATCGAGCTCGATGAATAAATTCAATGGCCGAACTTTATCGAACAAATGATTTCCTTCAAGAATTTCACTCGGACTACTTTTAATTTGGTTCTTTTTATCTTTTCTCAGTGTGTGATTTAATTCTCGGATCGAGCTTTAGTACTCTAAACACGCCGTATTATCGTGGCAAAAACAAAGAATCAAACAAAAAAGCACATACAATTTCGGAATTCTGTTTCAAAAAGACACTTTTTTTGTTTATTATTCAAAAAGCGGTAAAACAGTCATAAATTAACTGATGCTTGTCTCCGTTGCACGCATCACTGACGCATGAATGTGTTATCAATCGTTTCTTGAGTACAGAAACAGTTCATCAGTTACGATGGAGCGTTCACGAAATGGCGCATTGATGCGTTCAAATTCGCAAGATTATGAAAGTTTGGAAAGCGTCGAAGAACTGTATTTTGGTGAGCGAGAAACTGAAGAAAAGAGAGCAGCTCAGAAAGTGAAAATGAAAAGGAACTCATGTATCGAGATGGGAGAAGCTGAGTTATCGGAGAAAGAAAAGATTGAAAAATTCATTGTGGATACTTGCAAGTGTAAGTTAGAAGAACAAGGAGCGGCTTGTAGCACTATCCTCTCAAGAGATGACTTTTATGACCGTCGGAACAACTGCCAGGAGTTGTCTTCAGCAGAGCTCGATCTTGTTATTCTTGGAGTAATTCAAAGTTCTTTGCACTGTGGCGACGTCAGCTTGTCAGGAAGAAAGGGAAACCATCGGGAGCGGACAAGAATGGTATTCTTTTAGCACGGTAGAAGGATTTGTAAAGAAACATTTTATTTTTACATTCAGCCAGCCGAACAAGGTTTTGTAGCCTTGTGAAACATTATAAGACAAATGGACTCACATTGCGAGTTCAAGGAAACAGTAAGCGTTTACCAAGTAGCGCGTCTTCTATCGAAACTGTGGAGAACGTTGTTAAATTCATTATGAACATTGCTGTGGAGCAATGGATTTAAAAGAGTGAATGTGAAACTTCTGCCATCTGTTTTAACAAAATACAGCTTGTGGGAAACATACGAAGGGATATGTGCGAGTCAAGGTCACACCTCTGTCGGCTACTCTAAGTTTTGTGACTTATAGAATCAACTTTGCCCGTTTGTTTTGATCATGCGCCCGGCTATGGACCTGTGCTGGACATGTCAGAAAAACAACAATTTGATTCAAGAGACGGCGAATCTTCAAGAGGAACAAAAGGTAGCTGCTGTAAGAGCACAGGAAGAACATCTTCGACTATCAGCGGGTGAAAGAGAACTGTACAAGACCTGCTGTAATCAGGCGAAAGACGACGTTCACCAAAGCGGGTTACCTCACTTACCTGGGGTCCCCACCTCCATGTAAACAGGCCCTTAGACCGCAAGAACGAAAATACGCCAAAATTTCCTAGCATCGAAATATGATATAAAGCAGCATTCTGACACTACTTAAGAGTAATTTGAGTCATTTATAGCGTTTTTATTAAATAATCTCTCACGGCTATTGAAAATTTAAGAGTGTGAAATACATTTTCGTTTTAGTCGAATTCAAACATACAGAACTTTTTACTTCTTACATAGATTATTTGCTAAACACCAAACTTTAAGTTCCTAGTGCTTATTGTTGTCATAGTAATATCGATTTTACTACACCCTTCATTTTGACAAAATTCAATCTATAGTCAGTCATTGGTGAAAAATTTATAGCGATTAGACAACGATAAAATTTCTTTTAAAGCGATTGAAACATATCGGTATGGCCTCTGAAAAACTATATCGAAACAACTTAACTTTTAATGATTCCTTTTGTTGACACTGGAACTAAGGGCCTGTTAACATGGAGGTGGGGGACCCCAGGTAGGTGACGTAACTCGCTCAGGTGGAGTAACCCGCCTGTTCACATAATCTCTCATTTTAATGTGATCACGTTTACATGTTAGGCGGGGTGACCCGCCACATGTTACCTCACCTGTCTGTCGTCCCGTAAACAGGCCCTAAAAGGGCTTTCTCTGATTCATGAAAGCGGATCTCATTTATCACATCTCCAAGGAAAACCTACATGTTCGCCCGAACTTCCTAGTCAACGGCTACTGCTAATATACTTTTTCTTTTAAGGCTTAGTTTCTTTGACCTTTTTGCAACTAGTTAGAGGAAACCTTTCTCTTTTTTATTGTTACGTATCGTAAGGCGTTTGATAACTTACTGTCCTCGTCAGTGGTAACAATGATTGGATCGCTGGCATTTCCGTCTCCTCTCACAGTAGATGCAAACACCAAGATGCTATAGTTAGTGTATTCCTCCAAACTCCTGAGTGTGACGTGGGTGGTTGGAGCACTCACTATGGCCGTCCGTGGAATACCGCCAGGGAACGCCGTATACGTCACCGTGTAACTAAGTATAATTCCATTTTGATCAGCCACAGGGACAGTGTCCCAGTCTACCCAAATACTGGTGGAGCTTATGTCGTGTCCTTGAACATTAACTGGTGGTGCGCTTGGTTCTACAACAAAATGCATTTTTATAATTTAAAATATTCGCACACCCGAATCACCAGTCAAGTTCGTTTGGCGCGGAATTGTTATTGTGATATCGTTCTTAAGGAACGATACACCCCCACTGACCTCAAAAAATGAAGAAAGAATAAGAAATGTACAAAATTTAACTTTTACACTTTTTGTTTTAAATTTTAGCTACTTAAGCACCTTTTTGTAACTAATTAGAGGACATCCTCCCCTCTATTATTGTTACGTATTGTAAGGCCTTTGACAACTTACTGTCCTCGTCAGTGGGGACAATGATTGCATCGCTGGCATTTCCATCTCCCTTTACAGTAGATGCAAAGACCAAGATGCTATAGTTTGTGTATTCCTCCAAACTGCTAAGTGTGACGTGGGTGGTTGGAGCACTCACTACGGCGGTCATTGGAATGCCGCCAGGGAACGTCATGTACGTCACCGTGTAAGTCAGTATAATTCCATTTTGATCAGCCACAGGAACAGTGTCCCAGTCTACCCAAATACTGGTTGAGCTTGTGTTGTGTCCTTGGACATTAACTGGTGGTGCGCTTGGTTCTATAACAACGAAATGCATTTTTGTTATTTAAAAGGTTCGCACACCCGACTCTCAGTCAAGTTTGTTTGTTTGGTAGAGTGATATTGTTCCTAAAGAGCGATAGACCCTTCTGTCTAAAAAAATGTCCAAAATTCTATCTTGTATATTTTTTTGTTTTAACGTTAAGCTAGTACTTTGACCTTTTTAGCGAAGCTCTGCGGGCTTCGCGATCAGAGCCCCATAGCTAAGAAAATTTGGTAATCTATCTAGTAATGACGTCAGCGTACGAACGAGCGCTGACCGTACAAACTATGAGGGAGAGGGAAGGGAGTCAGGTGTCATCCCGTCGAGGGAGGAGTATGTTATAACTTTGCCAGATAGCTGAGAAAATTTGGTTCTATCCATTCGAGAAATGTTGGAAGTAAGCTAGTGTGGGATGATATTGCTCATTCATGTTCATTTTTAGATTTAGCCACAGCTAAAACCGAAGCTCGCTTCAATATTAATTGTTTACCTCGTAGTTACCCGTGAAGGAAATGTTTGTGTTCCTGTTCACACTGGCTTTTCACTGCCGCTCATTTTCACCTTAGTGGCCGCTAGCATTTCTCATTTTCGCACCGCCGCTATAAGATTTTCGTGTTTTTCTTCCAGCGAAATTGGTGTCAGTCGTTTTTGTTGTTGTTGTTGTTGTTGTTGTCGTTGTTGTTGCTATATTACACCTTAATACTATTTTATTAGGCAACGCCACGCGTTGGTCACGCTGTACGTCCCATTCCTATCTCAGATTGGTCAAAATTTGACAGGTGAGTTCATGTGGACAATTTATGCACCATCTGGAAACTTGTTTACTGATAGACTCTAGCTGAAGCTAACAGAGTTGAGTGTCGTCTGATCTTACTGTGTTTTAACCGTCTTTTTAAACTGGATCTACGTAATGAAATACATCTGCTATCAAGAATCTTTTGTAATTTATGGCTGGCGTGTTTTGGGGGGTTTTGGTCAAGAAATGCGCCGCTTGACAAAAAAGTATTCGGAAATCCCCATTTCAAAAATAAGGTTCTCTCTGTACATCACCTTGATGAATAAGGGGGGTCAAAAGTCTTTTGCGATTCTGATCATACTTGATGGCTTTCAGGAGCTGCACCTCGACTTAGCTTAAGCTTAAGTAATTATATTGCATCTGATGTTTTTTTTTTAAGGTTTCATTAAGCCGAGCGTTGTTTATGCCGTCACTTTACGCACGTTTGTAAGATTTCAGACAATGATCTAACCTAGTACAGAACCTCAAACGTCTTTAAACACTTTCTCACCGCGACTAGAAAGAAAACGTTCTGAAGAATATTTAGGTATCATATTGGTTGTAAAAAGAATGCTTTGAAGATATTTTTTGCCTCGACTTCATATTAACTTAAATCTGCAAGGTTTTATTCATGACTCAAGATTTTCAGGTACACGTCACTCTGAAATTATGTCTTCGTGAATAAAAATTGTTGTCCTTTTAAATGTTTCATTGAATTATATATCCTGTCTAGATTGTTTTTAAAATCTCTTTCTTATCGCTTTGCCGGTTGTTTTTAGCCGTACAAGAATCGCATGCAGGAGTACTCAAAATGCTGCGTGTATGAATAGTGTAAAAGATTCTTGTGTTTTAGAATCAAAATGAGGAACTAAAATTATTCCGAGACCTCTTCCTACTAGGTGTGCTTGATTTTTTAAATAAATAATTCTTTTATGTTGAAGCGTAATTCTCCGGGTACTGTTTATTCAAACACCAGCCAGCCCGCATTGCAAGTTTGGCGCTTGGCAAAATTCTGAAAATTCAGAAGTGGCTGACCAAACGGGTGATTTTGGAAATTGAATTAAAATAAGAGTTTTCGAAAGTCTTTGCTCAAAGCCCATTATTACCCTTATTTCTACACAATGGCAGATTGACCTGACTGTACAGTCCCTTCTAAAAGTGAATTCTCTATATAAAAGCGTTTTATAGCTTGTTGTGCAAGGGAAGCACGCTCTTTGATCGTTCTGAATATTGAATGAATCTCTGTCCGAGGTCTGAACGATAAACAAACATCACGACTGATAGTTCTGTATACCTCGCAGAGGTGATGAAGGCTGGTTAATACGCGCTACCAGATTTGTAATGTAAATTCGTAGCGAGTCACACACAAAAAATTCATTTTGGCCTTTCTCTTAGACAGAGAGATAAAATCGAAAAGGCAGAACTTGTAAATTGTCTGCCATCGAGGAGTATCGTTTCTTAACGGCCTTTATAGCATAAAATTATATTTAGGGACTGTCCAATTACCCTTATCAAATAAAGGTGGTGTAGGTGGGCAAATAGGTTATTTTGCTTGGGAGTAATTTGTTTTTCTCGCCTAATCTACTGTGATCAAAGCTTATTGCTATTTTTTAGGTGTACATTTAAGACTATTAACTCGCATCGATGTAAGATTTTAGACGTTGTTTCACGTTTGTGCTGTTTACAAATAATTATTTCTTCTCTAAAATCGTCCAGCCCCACCCGTTAAAGTCATATGGATCTCTCCAGTTGGCTGATTTGTGGATAATTACAATTGTTTGATTTAAATTATAAATTTATTAATTGGAGCTACGCGTTTAGCCCTGGCCAAATCTATATATTATAACTACCAAGAGCACGCATTCCCTTATTTATTGTTAAGTATCGTAAGGCCTTTGGCAACTTACTGTCCTCGTCTTTGGTAAGAATGATTGGATCGCTCGCATTTCCGTCTCCTTTTACAGTAGATGCAAACACGAGGATGCTATAGTTTGCGTATTCCTCCAAACTTCAACGTTTCAACGTTTACCTACTCCTCATTTTAGTATTAAGTATCGTAAGGACTTTGGCAACTTACTGTCCTCGTCTGTGGTAACAATGATTGGATCGCTGGCATTTCCGTCTCCCTTCACAGTAGATGCAAACACCAAGATGCTATAGTTTGTGTATTCCTCTAAACTTCTAAGTGTAACGTGGGTGGTTGGAGCTTTCACTATGGCCGTCCGTAGAATACCGCCAGGGAACGCCGTGTACATCACCGTGTAAGTCAAAACAATTCCATTTTGATCAGCCACAGGAACAATGTCCCAGTTAACCCAAACACTGTTCGAGCTTGTGTTGTGTCCTTGGACATTATCTGGTGGTGCGTTTGGTTCTAAAAGAACAAAATGAATTTTTATAAGTCAAAAGATTCGCAGATCCAACTCTCCAGTTAAGTTTATTTTGCGTGGAATGGTCAGTGTTAGAGTGATATTCTTCCTTAAGAGCGATACACCCCACTGTCTCAAAAGAATGAATAAATCGAAAAATCAATTTATAAATGTACGAAATTATTGTATACTTTTTTTCAACGTGTAGCTTACTGATGTCTTTTTTATTACTAATAAGAGGACATAATAAACGATGATTCTTTTTATTGGATAGAAGAAATTTTTTTTACCCACAAGCTTTCTATTTCATCGCGGAATCTTTTCTAATTGATGGATTTAGGCGTTTTGTCCCGTGATTTATACTGTGAATAACACTATGATCGCAAATAGATCGTGTAATCTGGGCATGCGACCATAGCTTCATTGGCATAAATTTGGTGGGATGGTGGTTAACGAAGGCGTCTTCGTGCAATTTGGTGGGTTAACAGGAATGTGAGTTCTTTCAACCCATTCTTTTACACTGGGAAAGCCCGCTATGTCTCTGAATTTAGCTGCAACATTGAATGGGTTATCAGTCCATCAAATTAACTCCCCTCGCTTAAAGGTCTAAACATTGCCGAAACAACGCAGAATGAGACATCACAACATGAGTGCATAACCTGATAGATTGAATTTGCTCCAAGGAAACGAAAAAATATCAGAATTTATTTTTTATCTGGCAGTTAAAGCTCTGTTGCGCCTCGTTCCATGATCAACATGCGGCCCTGTTAATAAAGGTTTGTTCAAGGAAAAGAAACTTCTGTCGGAATTCCGTTAGATTTCCGATTTCTAGTAGTCGTATTTTTGCAAAAGTTTGTGGCTGGCGAACTATTCGACATATTAAAAGTTCATCAAGTTCTTCTTCACTGCAGAAATACATAGACTAACTTTTGTGCCATTTTTTCAATGAGCTTCCTCGATATGTTTTCAGGTGACTTGCGACTTGTAACTTGCACTTGTGATTTACAAGTTCAGCTCTTGTATACTATAAGCTATTCATACTTCAGCAGAAGCTTTGTTAAATCAAATACTTACCGTATCGTATACAAGTGTGGAGCTACACTTGTAACTACAAGCGAAGACGGACACTTGTTATTTGTACTGGTAACTTTCTTTACTAAAATTGTTTCCCCTAGGTTTGTAAGAGCAACGGTCCGACTTGTAAATTACGCTTGCAAAACTTTTACCGAATTAGACTTGTAAAATCTTTACCCTACTGACCTCTGCAGACCTTTTTTTTTCAATAACGTTAGTTGCGAAACTTATTTACTAGCTGAAATTAGCTTCCGACCATGCACGAGGACACTATTAACTACTCACCATCTTCGTCTGTGAGGACTATGATAGGTAGGCTGATATTTCCATCTCCCTGTGCATTAGAGGCAAAGACCGTAATGCTATAGTTTCTGTATTTTGTCAGACCGGTCAGGCTGGCTTGAGTGGTTGGAGCACTCACTACGGCCGTCTTTGGACTGCCGTTAGGTAATGCCGTGTATGTCACCGTGTAACTCAGTATAATTCCATTCTGATCAGCGAGAGGAACATTGTCCCAATCTACCCAAACACTGGTAGAGCTTGTGTTGTGTCCTCGGACATTAGCTGGTGGTGCGCTTGGTGCTGTAAGGAAAAATACCACATTGATAAATCGATCTTTTTACACACAGAATTCTGCAATCACATTTATTCTGCGCAGAATAATCACTGTTAAAGTGAATTTATTCTTAATAGCAATACGCACGTAGTGCACAGCAACTGTAGTAACTACATAAATTTAGTAAGGAATAGTGTTGAACACCAGTGCAAAAACCTTACCAAAATGGTTTTTACTACTTACGGCCAAGTGCAACCTGTGTGTATGTTGCTTTAAATCCGCGGCGAGTTATAGAACCATCAGTAACAAGACGTACTATCAACGTTTCCCGGTAAGAAGCGAAAGTCGAGTTGCTAGTTAGTGTCCCACATAATCGCCCAGGAGGCACACCAATACCATGTAAGAAACCATTTTGAATTTGTATATAGTCTTTGCCACAATTACTTCCACCGAGTTCTATGTCCATGTCTGTAATGACCAACTTCACGCGTTTTCCGCTACTTGCTGTGATTTTCCAGCTGCATGTCTGGCCATTACCATAATATCCTGGGTAAAATGGGCTTTTAATGATGCCTGAAGTCCCTGTCAGGATTGCCATATTTGGACATGCTGTAAGATAAAACAGTTCATTGCTTCAATGCATGAAAAATGAAAGAATGACTGATACATTTCATCTTGATATAAAGATAGAAACACTCGCCACGCACGCGCACGTTGAGGAAGCCCTGATAACAGGGAACTTAAGACGGAGACGTTTTCGGGGCGACGGCGACCGGACTGGCAGAGAAAGCCTGGAACTAAGGCAGCCGTCGCTTCCCGTCAAAAATAGAACATTAAGATGGCAGTGAACTCAGAAGGACGGCGCCTTTAATTAGAAGAATACCGAAGAGGGAAATATGGCTTCACATAAAGGATTAAAAGAATAAATATTTGCTATGCAGACAACATGTATCGGATGAAGAGTTTCTCGTTTTGTGGGGAAATTATGAGTCCAAAAATCCCGATTTTCCTCGGGACAGTTACGACCGTTCACGCTAAAAAACATGCGTAATGCAGCTGAGTTCAAGGCAGAATTTCGTGTTGAAAAAAAAAAATGATCTCCACAGGCTTGTCGAAGCCTTGCAAATTACAGGAACATTAAAATACTACCAAGGAAACGTATTCTTAGTTTGGTATTGAAATAATTCCCGGGAAATACTTGCATGCAACAACAACAACAACGGCAAGAACTTTATTTCAGTATTCCCACGCCGAGTTAGTACATGGTATTACCTACTATTCTTTATAATTTTCAATGCGTTTCACTTATACGATATTCTAACGAAAAGTGCGAACTAAAAACACACAATTGAAATATCGGAGTTCATATTTTTGTCTGGATACTTTTATTTGGCTCGTAGGAAAATTTTGTCCATGTCAAGCTCACTTACGGTTGGCTGTTTGCCAAGTTGGATCTTGACCCTGTGACATGAAAACATAGAAACATTATAAAGATGTAAGTTTAGATAACAGAGCTTGGAAATCGAGCTTGAAATGTGCCTCAAAGAAAACAAGGACAATTTAAGAACGATAATCTGCAAAATGTTGGTTGCTAAACGCAACAAACCTGAATGAAATGACCGTTAAATACGCACGTTTTCGCCACAACGCCAAACAAACCAGTTTCACGTCGCCGACGGGACCACGACGGCAAGGTGGTGAGCACGAGCATGCGCAATATCCAACAAATGATGATGTCACGTCCGGTTGAAGTTGCCGTCGCCCCGAAAACGTCTCTATCTTAAGTTCCCTAGTGTCTGCGTAGAAGGCAGCACGCACGTGAGACAGGAAAAAGCTAACGTCTGAGGGGACTCTAACTCATGACACCCACATGAGTGATCCGCGTTTAACTCCAACTTCAATTTTAGCTAGAATGTAACGAGATTTCTGTGCATGACATCAGCGGTACCGGTGTTAGTGTATTCCCGACTTCCTAGTTATGAGACTCCTCTTCCTAAAAGATGTCAAACCACGCGCTCTATACTAGTTTCAATCGAGTTTTGAAATTGGCAGAGAAAATATGTCCTGTGCAGCCTCTTATTGTACGTGAAGGTAAGAAAATTGGCGACCGTTTTCTGGAAGACTCGCTGAACGTTATTATAGCGAAATTCATTGTATCGCGCTGTGCGTTTTGCATGTTTTGGGTTTTTCTGTTCCGCCAATCATCTTAGCGGACCTCTTAGGAAATGCATGTTCACTTGCACAAGTTCTAAAGGTCATGGTTTGTGATTCTTGATTTTTATTGGTGTATCTCGATCCGTTTTGTTTGTTACGTGTTTCAAGGTTCGTTGCTTTGTGAACGTCCTGTTTCGGGCAATAATCGACAAGTTAAGTTTGCTTCGCAGATTTTTATGATCTTTCTCATTCTTGTCACTTGCCAGAATAAAGCAACGTCGGCTTCCTTTTTTCGACAAAAAATCCACTTCCCATTGCGATTCCCTTCGCTATTCTTGAGCAGTCTAGAGTCATTCTCAGCCAAGCTGGGCGAGCACGTTACGCGATACAACGAATTTCGCTGTAAGAAGAAAATTGGCTCGGCCATAGGCTGTTTTCAGAACAAGACGACGCGAGGAGTTGCTCTTCATCCTCAACTTAGGCACTTTATCGCCAGCTGGCCTCAATGATGTGTTCGCTTTTACGTGACATGCGCTCGCGCTCTGCCTTGAACGGATTGGCGCATATCTCCCTGAAAGCAGTATTGCCTAAAAACTGGAGTCTCAAAAGAGTTTGATCTACAATTTATGGTTAAGATCAATAAAATATCAAGACAAGCCTCAACAAGCTATTAAAGAACTGGTCTTTTCCTTTCATAAATGGACAGTGTTGGGCAAATCTCAAAACAAGGATTTTGCTACTTACGGCCAGGGACGACCTGTGTGTATGTTGCTTTAAATCCGCGGCGCGGACCGGAACTATCAGTGACAAAACGTACAATCAAAGTTTCACGGTAAGAAGCAAAAATCGAGTTTCTATGGCGTGTCCCACATAATCGTCCTTGAGACAAACCACTACCATATAAGAAACCATTTTGGATTTGTAAATAATCTTTGCCACAATTACTTCCACCCTGTTCTATGTCCATGTCGTTAACGACCAACTTGACGCGTTTTCCGCTACTTGCTGTGATTTTCCAGCTGCATGTCTGGCCATTACCATAATTTCCTGGATAAAAAGGACTTGTGATGACGCCTGACGTCCCTGTAAGGGTCGCCATATTTGGGCACGCTGGAAGACAAAACAAATCATTGAATCAAAAATCAAAGGAAAGATGACACTCTTTTTCTTGAAATAGACGAAAACGCTCATCTCATCATGTGGGTTAGCCTCTTACACAGACATTCTTAGGGCTACGCAACGCGTTCGTTGCCCACGAACTTTCGTGGCGAGAAAACCTGTTATGAGACCCTTACACTGGACGAAAAAACGGATTTACCTCTATAGCAAATTTGGAGCAAATCATCTGCAAATGCCACATTTGCTTAATTTTGCTCAATTTTGCCACATGACATAGGACCAACTTTGCCATAATTTTGCATTAGTGGCAAAGGTGGTAAATGCCGAATTTGCCTCAAATTTGCCCCGTGTGTAAAAACAAGGATAACCTTTACTTTATCAAGGCATTTACAGGGGTGTCAAACTTGATAGCAAAACTGACATTTGTCAGGTTTTTGCCCAAATGGGCAAAAGCGATCGAAGATGAATTTTTGAATGCTTTTGCTCTCTATAGCAAATTCGGTCAAAGTAGTAATTTGCCACATTTTTGCTCAATGTAGCAAAAGTGACCAAAACTCATTTTTCAACAGTTTTGCCCAGGATAGTAAATCTGAGCAAAAATTCACTTTATTTGTGTATCGCCCAGTGTAGTAAATGAGGTCAAATTATCACTTCTTCCGTATCTTTGGTCAGTGTGGCAAATATGATCAAAATAGGCGTTTGCCACTGTTTTGCTCAGGGTAGCAAATTTGGCCAAATACCACTTTATTCTCAATTTTGCTCAGGATGGCAGATATGATCAAAACAGTAGTTTCCCATACTTTTCCCCATTGTAGCAAAGTTGATCAAATATCAGTTCTTCTGTATCTTTGCTCAGGATGGCAAATATTGCCATGATAGCAGTTTTCCATACTTTAAGTAAGGTAAACAAAGTTGATTAAAATATCACTTTTTTACACTTTCACTCAAGATAGCAAATTTGATCAAAACATCATTATCCACATGTTTCTTATTTTTATTTGGTACCATAAATGACTGACAAACAATTTAGACACTAAACAAAATTTCAAGAATAAAATGACTTTATTATCTTTAATATACACTGTACAATAAAAAGCAAGATAAATTAAAAGAAAGTTCCATTGGCCTCTGCAGGGCACTGCATGTACCACAAAATATATGCCTTTAAATAAAAAGCACATACAATGTGAAACTATCTAAATTCATAAGTGTATAAGAATGTACATTGGGTTTGAAAGTGCAAGTCAACACTAGCTGGTTCATAATTATCTAAGGTTGGTACAGGTAAAACGTAACTCCATTTGAGTGGTATACTTCAAATATACTCTTTCTAGATTCAATTGATACTCTTGGCAAATGGTTGTACGATGACAACACGTACACATCACTCCCAATGTAGATGTGACATCCTTACTAATGGACAGAACATCAACCACTGGAAATAAAATTAGCCTCAAATTATTATGATAAGCGATATTCCTGTAATTATTATTTATAAGAACTTGTTTTCATCTGATAAATATTATCCACTACCCAAAATAGGCAGTGAATAATATTATATAGTGTACCTAGTGCTATTCACTTACCCCAAGGGGAGATACATCTGTGTGATTCATTTTTAACCAAATCAGTTATATAAAAATATTTCTTGTAAATAAAATGAGTTACTATGCGAAAGCTCTGTGCATTTCTATGATTTAGGTACGACTTTGATATATTTTTACCCAGCAGTAAACACTTATAAGGTTAATTTTGTCACCTTTTAGCATGTACACGTATTTTATTTTACAGGTGCTTCATTTACTGCTAAACTTCTAAAACTAGCATGAAATGACACCCCAATTTTACTCTCATCCTATAGGTAGCCAAAAGCTTTTCAAGTTATGAAAGCTAATCTACTATCCACTGATTTGGTTAAATACTTGTATTATTATTATTATTATTATTATTTTTATTATTTTTATATCACTGTAAATAATATGATTTGGTGAAATTCTTGTATTATTATATGACCATAAATAATTTATTCCTTTTTTTTTTTTTTACTAAAATCAAGTTATTTGCTAAAATTTTGAGCAATTTTTTTCTGATTCACATGATCAGCTGTTTTGCTGGCAGTATTGGACTGATTAAATATCCAAATTATCCAAACAAAATCTATACACTATGAAAGCTCTGTAGAACTTCTTTAATTCATCATCATCATTATTGTTATTGGCATGCAGGTGATTAAGATTTAAGCCATGCTTATCAAAAAACTGTTATCACACACGGTATTTTTTTTTGTTGCATAAAACATAACTGCACTCTTTTTTCATAAAATATGCCAAGAACAAAATAGGATCATGGCATTTGGAGTCCAGTAATTACTCTACTATGGGGTGTATTGGCTAGATTTAGTCCTTGGAGTGGCACTTTTTAAGACAGTGCTTAGGGTAGCCCTAGGATCTGTCACCACTGCGGAAAGTGGATGCAGATGTATCTCCAATTACATATGTTGGGTGAATGGACACGACAACTGAAAATACAGCTGCATTTACAAGCTACTAGATGGAAGGTTTTTAAAATTCACTAAAGTTGCCAAGTTACAGAGTGATTCGGTGAAAACTAACAAGGACAGCTCTGCAAAGATGGCAAATTTTGCAGACATTTGTCTGGTAAGGGAAAGTTTGTGGCTCCACCATACCATACATAGGTCATTGAGATTATGTGACTCTGTGTCGACACTTTATTTCAAATCGGACTAATCACAAACAGTGTAAGAACCTAGCCAATCACAAAACGCTGACATACATACATGTCTTTGTGACCCTGTGGGATTCAAACATGATATTGTGCACTAATTCTCAGACGGCACGCTCTATACAGAAGGTTTAGAGTGTCTGCAACACAGGCAAGATCTTCATTGGATTGCGACAAATCACTTTGAGATTTGGTAATTTACCTAGTTTTAACGTGGCTCCTTCCCATGGGTGTCAAAGGATATTCACTTACTACATTGTAGGTCTTCATCAAAACTCAAAAAATTGTGCAATTGTCTACTGAGTAAATATAGTTACAGGAACTTAACTGAAAAGGAACTGAATCATGATGCATGTCAACTTCAACTTGAGTGTTATTATTATTTTGTACATTTTTATCTAAAATGTCTTCTTCTTTTCTGAATGTTCTTCAAAAAATTATCTGTGTTATGCTTATGATCAAGTTCCTTTTTCTATTGTAAGTGGTGGGTGCCAGAGCAAACTCAGGAGCATCATCTCGTGCTCCTTCGTTTGATGCTGGTCTCATTGTGTGCTCTATTACCATTATTTTCACTTCATTGGCTTTGACACCATGCAACTTTGCGGTCCAACTGGGCCATTAAACCATTAACCTCAATGCTCTGCCAGGAAAGTGGCCTTACACAGAGATTTTCCCTGTTTGGGAGGTCCTCATCTGAACCTGAAGAATTACCGCCATGTCACTCTGATACAGCTGTTTCAGACAAAGACTCCTCTGATGACATATATGCAACGGACATACATGCAAGGTACTTGTCCTTGTCTGACTAACTGATGCTAGTTGACTCCCTCAGAGCATATTGGCCCTTTAATTTTTTTTCTGAAAGAAAAATGAAGAGCCATGATTTAGCAGCCAACAAGTAACCCACAGTTGGTAAACAAGCATGTACTGCTCATACTCAGTGCAAATGATTGGGTTGCAGAACAATGACACGATGCTAAAAGCTGAAAACACTCTCTTAATCAAAGGAACAGTTTGAGGATATTTGTGAGAAAAATTTCTCCCTGCATTTTATTCCTACTAACTTTTTCACTAAATATATAATATGTTTTTTGGAACAGGTGTTAAAGTAGAGAGCAGAAATGCCTCTTTCTGTTGAATCTGCATTTGTTTCATTAAGACTCTTTTAAGTGTAGATAAAAACTGAAATAAATTAATTCCCTTGTCATTCAAGAGCAGAACTGATAGTGTCCCACAGGTCACCAGGCTCTAACAGAGCACAGCCATGACTCAACTGTACACATAAACCGTAAAACCGGTCAGAACCTGAGAAACGTAACATTAAGGCAACCCACATGTTGCTTAGAACAATAATTAATTAATTGTGGTTATTTGGCATGATAAAGCCAAAGCATTTACTCGCAAAATGAACTAACAAAGATCCCTCAACATCATTGAGCTGTACAAAAGGTATAAATAATGAGGTATTGTCATCTAAAATGTGGAACAGTAATACAGTGGTCACTTGGAATGACACTTATGCTTCAAGATCTGGCAAGTGCCGTCATTCGCAAAATGAGCCAAAATTAAGATCTCACAATATTACTGAACCATATGTATAAACCATAAGAGTTTTGGATGGTACAATTTATGAAAGAAGAATCACTTGTCATTTAAATGTGAAACAATAATATGGTGGTCACTCAGAATGACACATAGGCTTCAAGATCTGGCATATGCCGTCACTGGTAAAATGAGCCAAAATTAAGATCTCACAATATTACTGAACCATATGTATAAACCATAACACTTTTGGATGGTACAATTTATGAAAGAAGAATCACTTGTCATTTAAATGTGGAACAATAATACGGTGGTCACTCAGAATGACACATAGGCTTCAAGATCTGGCATATGCCGTCACTCGCAAAATGAACCAAAATTAAGATCTCACAATATCACTGAACCATATGTGTAAACCATAAGAGTTTTGGATGGTACAATTTATGAAAGAAGAATCACTCGTCATTTAAATGTGGAACAATAATACGGTGGTCACTCAGAATGACACATAGGCTTCACTCGCAAAATGAACCAAAATTAAGATCTCACAATATCACTGAACCATGTGTATAAACCATAAGAGTTTTGGATGGTACAATTTATGAAAGAAGAATCACTTGTCATTTAAATGTGGAACAATAATACGGTGGTCACTCAGAATGACACATAGGCTTCACTCGCAAATTGAACCAAAAT